GGTCTGAGCGGGACGGCGCGGCGCGGCGCGGCTCTGCCTCCCAGCTGTTCTTGGCTCCCAAGCCCGCGCAGCTGAACCGATAAATAGTGAAGACGTGAAGGAATGCCTTCTGGCGAGGGTCGCGCCCTATAAATCCCTTTCCTCCTTCCTCCCCTCGGTCCCTCCCTCGCGGCCTCAGGCGTCTCCCGACCCCTGCTGGCAGGGACGTAAACATGGCCTGTGTGAACAGGTGTTTTCCTGCTCATCGAGGTTTTGGAGTAAATCCGCTTGCCAGCCCGCAGCTGGGTCCCAGCGGTCCAGGAAGCTCTTGCGTTCATTTTTCTCCGCCTGACCCTAAGAGGACCCCATCCTCCGAGGCTCATACGTGACGGCCGCGTCCGGAGGGTGGGGAGCTGGGGGGGAGGATGTAACTGGAGAAAGCTCTTGGTTTAAAAAAAAAAAGGTAGGGGAACGTGAAAGAGGGAGAAAGTAAATGCAAAAGAAGCATTGTCCTGCCTGAGCTCAGACAGCTTCGTGAGGCTCCAGACAGGACTAGGAGATAGGACCTGCCACTGGGAGGGGAGGTTCCCAATGGGAGAGGCCTTCCAGGAGACTTTCTGGAAGTGGTGACCCCCGCTCCCCGCCAGTAGCATAACTGATGAGGACTTTTGGGGAGCGGGAAAAGCATTCCAGGACACTTGTCAGCAAAGGCATGGAAGCCAGATCCAGCCAAGCGAGAAGTCAGCAGGCCGTCAGGAGTCTCTGAGCCTGAAGGGAGAGTTAAAGTTAAGACCTGGCCATCTGAAGATGGATGTGGCCCTGAGGGTACTCTTTGGTCTAGGCCAGCAGATTCCAGCCGGGATTGCAGAGGCTGGACTGGAGAGGGCAGCAGGGAAGCTGTGGCCTCAGGTGGGCAGAGGGTGAGGACAAAGGGCAGTGCTGGCTGGAAACCTGGGTAGAAGGCAGGTTCCGCAGTAAGGGTGAGTGATGGCAGAGGAAGGGTGAGCCCAAGAGATTGTAGGGCACAGTGGGGTTACCCTAGTCTTAAGGAGACTGGAGCAAGAGAAGGTTTGGGGAAAGACAAGGCCCACCATGGCCCCAGGGAGGTAAGGAGGCTGCAGGTGTCCAGCTTAGGATCGTTCAGGGTGGGGGGTCAGGCTGGAGGAGGTCCTGGGCATATCATGCACTTCGGATGGAGGTGATATGCGGGGAGAGAGCTGGGTACAGTACGTGCAGAGCACATGGGTTCTGGGGGTGGGGGATGGGGGGAGTAATCTCAAAGGCCCAATGGAGTGGGGGAGAGGGGAGGCCTTTCTTTGGAGTGGCAGAAGCCAGTCTGTGGTGACTAAGATGTAAAAAGAGGTGAGAATTGACTATATTTTAAAAAGAAAGGAAAGAAAGGAAGTGAGGACAGGAACACAGGCCTCAGAGGCCTGGCCTCTGAAATGTGGACAGTGGGAACCACAGAGTGCAGGGAGAGACTGAAGGAGCATCTTCAGGGAGGAGAGGAGTGTGTGGCACTGGCCAGGACTGAGAGGACAAGACATGCCCCAGTCTTCTCCAAGCTAGAGGGACCACCATCTCAAAATACCTCCAGGTCAAGTCAGTGGTTCCCCCATTGGAAATTCCCCTGGAGGGAGAGGCACAGAAGCTGTGCTGTGCAGGATAATCCAGGGTCCTCCCGGGGATGTGTTTGCTTCCTCGAAAATCCTCTGTTCCCTGAGGGTACAAGCTTTTTCTGTTCCTTCCTGGCTGTATTCCCAGCACCTAGAACAGGGCTGGCATTCAGTAGGTGCCAAGTAAATATAAATTGAGAGAACTGGACTGAAGAGAAAGGAAGAACAGAGAGGCTGGTTAAAGGGCTGGTATGATGGAAGACTTGAAGTCTCAACCCAGTGGAAAGTATCTCACAGGAAAAGACCAATGCTCTTGTGTGCAGAACAGCTGGACCACAGCCGTCCTAAACAAACAGAAAACAATTAGGAAACTCTTGCAAGGAAATTGGCAGAAAATGGCAAGTAGTCATTATTAAAATAAAAAAAGTCCTACAACACAGTAAAAGATGTTAAGATTCCAATAGTTAAATGGAAATGAAGATGCATAGTTAACACTCAGAAGAGAACACGTAACTTAATTGATGAGAGAGAAGCATCAATATCAGTTAAAGTAAAAAATAAAATAGAAACGACAACATGTATCGCTTAATATATTTGCAATATAACTGACCAAAAATTATTATGCAGAAGAAATAAGAAACTTTTAAGAATCAATAATTAAAAAGTCAAACAACAAGGTCCTACTGTACAGCACAGGGAACTATATTCAATATCTTATTATAACAGAATACAAAAAATTATATATCTACATAGACATATAACTGAATCTGTACATCAGAAATGAACACAATATTGCAAATCAACAATACTTCAATTAAAAAAAAAATCAGGAAGAACCAGCCAGAAGAATGGTAAAGGTTCTTTATTGGAAACTCACAGAAGAGGAAGTCCCAGTGGGTATAAACAAAGGAAATAGAGTTCAAGTGCATTAATAATTAAGAAGTGCAGTACTGCCCCCACATTTTCACACTCTGTTAAAGAAAGAATTGTTCTGACACTTATTCAAACAGTAAGAAAGACTGTTCAGGAGTCTATTGCAATGAGTTTGTCAGCAGAGGAGAGACCAGGCTCAACTCTGAACACAGCAAAGACAGCTGGGGATTTAAAGGTAAGTAGACTGTCAGTGGATGTAAAATTACAAAAATAAGACACCGAGGGTAGGGGGAATCTTGCTAAAGTGGCCTAATAGGATTATCCAAGGTTGGAGATGGGGAAGTTGATCAGATAGCAAGGGTGGAGGATTCTCTCTGAACTGATCTGGCAGAATTCTTTGCTTAGACCAGGGTAAGTAGGCCAGAAACAGGACAGGTGCCCCAGTCAAGGTCGAGTTGAGAAGAGAGCTCAGAGGAGCCTGACAAAAGTTTGGTCAAGGAGAAAGTCTTTCACATGACTATACATAAGATAAAGAAAGAATGTGAAAACTAATGTATGCATGTATATGTATGACTGAAACATGCTGTACACCAGAAAGTGACACAACATTGTAAACTGACTATAATCCAATAAAAATAAATTAAAATAGATTTAAAAAACAAAGACCTACTGTAGAGCACAGGGAACTATACTCAGTTTCTTGGAGTAACATATGCTGGAAAAGAGTCTTAACAGAAAATATATATGTGTGTGTAACTGTATAATTGAATCACTTTGCTGTACACCTGCAACTAACATTGTACCTCAACTACATTTCAATAAAAAATTAAAAAACAAAACAAAACGAGAGAGTCCTTGCCACTGTCAACATGGCAAAATGTAAAATAGGGTGAGGTCCAGCTTTGGTTGCTGAGGGTGCGAATGTACAAATATTGCTGATGAGAATGTAAACTGGAACAGCCAATTTGGAGCTGGTTTAAAAACATGCCTGCCAATTCTTTGACTCTCCTCCCTTACAAAGGTAAAGCCCAATCTTCCTCCCCTTGAATGTGGGCTTCTAAGGAACAAAATGAGGCAAAAATAAAAGTGTGTGGTCATAAAAGTCATTGCAGTTTCCATCTTGCTGAGTCTGCAGGAAGTGAGCCACCGTATAGTGGAGATACTCAAGCCGCCCTGAGGAGGGGCCTGCATGAAACTGAGACCTCTCTCACAACCATAACCAACTGACCAGCCAGGAGCGGGCTGCCCTGGAATTAGACCCCTACCTAGGCCGTGGGATGGCTATAGTCCTTGGAATCCAACATCTGCCTGGAACTTCAAGAGAGACTGAGCCAGAACCTGGCTCATCCTCTCCTGAATTCCAGACCCACAGAAGTGGGGAAAGATGATAAATGTTTTTTGTTGTTGTCTTAAGCTGCTGGGCTGTGGTGTAACTTGTTATGCAGCAGCATGAGATAACTAATGCCTGGAAAGTGGGTCCCAGTGAGACAAGAGGGAAGGGGGCAGGGCACAGCCATCCAAGGAATGACACAGCAATTAACACCAAGATGGCAGAAGATTCAACTCCCAGTAGGCCTTGAGCTTCATGATAAACTCATTGTGATAGATTAGCATGGTAAGTGACACTCCCACAGGCGCCACAACTGTTCCTAGGCTGACCATAAAAGGTCGAAAAGAGACAAAAAAGAGTTCCCAACTATTAAAAAACTAAAGTTATAATCTTAGTTTATCTAAGACACTCACAGTCCTACAGCAACATTTTAAAAGAATGAGAAATTTTACCTTGACTCCTCTTTGAACTACTAAACACAGCTTAATATACCGTAAATCCTGTAAGTTTCATACAAGGTAAGTACGAATCATAACAGAAATCAAACCCACCCAGCTAGCTCACTTGGTAGAGCATGAGATTCTTAAAAGAAATCACATCATAGCAGGGCCTCTGCCTGCCTGCCTGTCTGTCTGTGAATCTACGTGCCATGCTCTGTTGGCCTTTCTAGAACCACAGTGCAGAAGGTGGAGAGTTGACCTGGGGCCCCTATTAACATGCTCACTTGAGTTGGATGCAATGTCCCCGCTTTTTGTCCAAAAACCCCAGAGGTCTAATTTGCCAGAGGATTTGACAGTGAGGACTGGCTGTGCCAATGAAGTTATGAGACCAATGTTTTTCAAAAATCAGTGAACGGAATCTGCATATACAAATACGATATAGGATAAATCGCAGTCATACCTTTCCGATGATTCAGAGAAACATTTAGAGCTCAACTTAAAAATATTCATGACGGTTGCACAACCTTATGATAATATGAATATACTGAAAAACACTGAATTATACACTTTAAAAGGGTAAGTTATATGGTATGTGCATTACATCTTAATTTTATTAAATGTGTGAGAGGGATATAGACAGGGCCCTTCTGATGGGCGTGGACTAAGGGGGTTGCCAAGACACAGACCTTCAGAGCCCAAAATGCGGGAGTCCTGGGCAAACCAGAACAAGCTGATCACCCTAGGTACGGAGGTTTTTTTTAATTATTTCTGGAGCAGAGAGTATATAGCTCAGTGGTAGAGTGCATGCTTAGCATACATGAGGTCCAGCACCTCCATTAAAAGATAAATAGATGAATAAAAACCTAATTACCTCTCCCTCCCAAAAAAAGCCCCCAAAATGTATTTTTGGGAGAATGAAAGCAAAAAGGTTTCAAGATGTGAATAGCTCTCTTGTCAATGCAAGACTGGAAATCTGAGGGCAGGAGGGGCCCCTTTGGGGAATGAGCTTACTCCCTCCTCTCCCAATTCGCCCTCCCGCCAAACTCCTGCCTGGGGCTTGGGAACAAGGGGTGGACACAGCCCTTCCTGGGCCTGGTATTTATTGGCATCAGTAGGTGCAGTTCACGCTCTGTGAGGCCCATCTTGGTGATTGTCCATTCAGCATTTGCGGGCCATTTGAGCTTAGGATTTTTGTCACCTGCCTTCCCTCCCCCGGGGCACAGATCAGGCCCCATAGTTCAATCTGGCAGAACTTTTATCCTCCTAAAAGTATCCTTAGGCCCCCTGCCCCGTGCTTTTCCCGCCGCCACGGCCATCCTGCTGGCCTTCAGCTCCCTTGCCTCCTCCACCCAGCAAGCCCGTGCGCCCTCCGCGAGCATCTAGGCTGTGTTCTCGGTGAACCCGCACGATTGTGGGGCCAAACAGGAGCCCATGTCTAAAAGGTAACAAATGTGGTTTGGGTTCCTTACATCCCTAACCCCTACAAAAAACAGCCATTGGTGGGATACGAGATTACAAAAGTCTAACGGGGAGAAGCATTGATGGAAGTGTCTCTGGTCCCTTTTGGGATGCGGCGCTGGAAGGCAGCCTCCGGGAGGCAGGGCCCGGATCGAGGGGGCACAGTAGATGCGCACAGCATGTTCGATAACGCTCTGATAAACACTGTCCACGGCATCTGCTTAGACAGCTGGGGCCGCGCGCGGCCTCCCCGAGGGGTACGGGTCCCCTGGACTTGGGGGGCCGGCACAAAGCAGGGTCGCAGGCCGTACAGGCACCAGGTGCATCTCCCGACCCCCTGGCGTCCAGCAGAGCGGCGGGGGCTTTGATTTCCGGGCGCCCGCGGACTCCATTTCCCAGAGGCCCGCGCGCGATTTCATTTCCCACAATCCCTGCCCGCTTCCGGCGCGGCCGAGTCGCCGCCGACGGTTTCCGGGTTTGGGCCTGGCGCTGCGGTTGAGGCGGCGGCGGCGGCGGCGGCGTCCGAGTGGGGCGCGGGCGGTGGGAGCGGGGCACCGGCATGGACGTTTCGGGGCAGGAAACCGACTGGCGGAGCACCACCTTCCGGCAGAAGTTGGTCAGCCAAATGTGAGTAGGGGCCAGGGAGGCGGCGCGACCCCCGGCCTTCCCTCAGCCCTCCTCGCGGTGGGGGAGGCGCGGCCGGACCCGCGGGGGACCGGGCGCCGGACCGTTGGGGACCCAGGCGCGGCCCTACCCGCTGTCCGCTCGGTTCTCGGCCTTCCCGGCCATTTGTTAGCGTTCCTGGGCCGAACTCTGCCGGCCGGGGAGCCCTGGTTTGTGAGTCATCGTCATTTGTGTGCTTGGGAGGGAGACTTGGCGCGGCTCTGCGTCCCACTGCGGACGGACGAGGACCGGGCCGCCCGTGCTGGCTTTCACAGGTCTGGGTGCTTTGCGATTCCTCCTCCAGAGAAGCGCCCCAGGGTGAGGGCGGGTGGAGGGGGCGGATGGAAGGGGCGAGGGACGAGGAGCGAGGGGCGGTGGGGACGAGAACCTTGGGTGACCCCGCCCCAGATGTGGACTTCGCCGGAGGGTGGCAGGAAGAGGCTGTCAGGAAGCGACCTTCGGTCGGGAGGGGGAGTGAGAAGCCGAGGTTAGTGCCTTCTGCCCAGTCTCAGCTGTTGAAGCCCTCGATGCCGCGACTGCCGTGCGCCCTCGGCTTCACGTGCGGAACTCCCGCTGCTGCGCACCGGCTGCTCGTTAGTTTACAGTCTTCTGGTCTTATGGGACTGGCGGGCTGTGCGAGCGGGGATTAGCCCGAAACACCCCTGCCCTCAGGGAACGCACCGCAGCGAAGGCGGAGTTACAATGCGGTCTTTCTGCCACCTGAATTGACAGTTTGCTTGAGCAGGCCAGGAGCAGCCTTGGGGGTGGGGGCAGGCGACGAATAAACTGAGTCCTCGGAAGACAAGGAGGGGGGTGAAGGGCCATAATTGCAAGCTGAGGACGGGGGAAGTGTGAGTGCCCACTGCTTGGGGGCCGTCGTGCAAGTCTGAGAGCTCTGGGGTTTGAGGAGTGAGGAGGCTCAGGAGATGATAACGGGATGAGAACGAGCAAGTGCTGACACGTCAGTGGTGGGAGTGCTACGATGAGTATTTGGCCTAGGGCCTGCTTTGAGGTAGCGAGAGTTGGGACATCCCCCAGTCCCCGGAGACAGATCAAGAACAGAGGAGAGAGGCCAGTTAGGCCATTAGCAGCATTTTGAGATCTTGTGGTCTGGGGACCTGTCATTTTTCCTGCCTGTATTCCTACTTCTAGAGCACTGCCACGTTGCTCCCAAAAGATGAGAAGGACCTGTTAGTTGGCGGTAGGAACTGAAAGAGGAAGATGATTCCAGAGAAAGGGGAGAGTGAGCAGAGACAGTCCTTGATGACTAACTGGATGGCGGGGGTGGGGTGCGGCAGCGTGGAAGGAAGGAAGTGGGGCGGAGGGCCGGGAACCTCTCCGTGCACTGCAGGGAGTGGGGGCCTTAGCGCTTGTGGCTCTGGGCACTGCTGTGGAACAGTCCAGGAACAATTCTGCGGAGGCTGTAGAATCAGTGCATGTTGTTTTTTTTGATGCACTCAGGTATTGATAAATAAAATCTTGAGGATTGGCTCGCTTCAAGGCTCCTGTGAGAAAAGCCCCCAGGGCAAAGATTCCTCTTTGAGGAAGCTCAGAACTTAAGGATGGGAAGAATGAGTTGCCACCCAAGGAAATGGGAAGGGTGTCAGAGGGCTGGGAGAATCATTGAAGAGTCTCTGAGTGGACTGGGAGAACTGAGTGAGCGCTTGTTAGTTTAGCCTCCTTCTGTGTCTAGAGAAACTGGGTTCAGATTGCTGCTCATGTATTAGTTTTCTATGGCTGCCGATGAATTGTGTTGCTTAAAACAGCACATGTTTATTTGACAGTTTCTTTAGATCAGAGGTCTAGGGTCTGCTTAGGGTCTTAGAGGGCTGCAATCAAGATATTGGCAAGAGTGCATTTCTTCCCGGAGGCTCTGGCGTAGAATTGGCTTTCAAGCTCATTCAGGTCACTGGCCAGATTCACTTCCGTACAGTTGTGGGACTGAGGTGTTCTTGTTCCTTACCAGCTCTTTGTCAGCCCAGGGTCAGCCTTTCCTCATTCTCAGAGGCTGCCTCCATTTCCCTCTGGCACTTCCGAAGCGGCCCCTCCAACACAGGTGGCTTCTTCTGCAGCATCTCTGACTTCAGCCAGAAAAAATAATTCTCTACCAAGGGTTCAGATTAGATCGGGCCCACTTGAAAAAGCTGGATGATGTCCCTATTTTGAAGTCTGTAACCTTAATGACATTTGGGAATTCCCTTCTGCTGTATCATGTGGCATATTCCCAGGTTCCTGGGATTAGGGCCCGGGTGCTTTGGGGAGCCCTTCTGCCCACCTCCACTGGATGAGCAGTTTGAAAGGCTGTCTGCCTAGCATCGTGTGGGTGTTCTCAGTTCTCAGATTCATCTGTTTTCTCTCCAGGGTTCACTTTCAAAGTCGTGATTCTCGGTGCCTTGATATATTGCTTTCACAGGGTTAGAAAAGCAGATCTGGGTTAAGGCACCTGACATGTTGTTAATTCTGACTTCTTCCAGTGTTTATGCTGTTGTTTAAAGTTGGCCATCTTGGGAAATGTTTTGAACCCAAGAATTTGCGGTTGACTGAGGGAAGAAGGAGAGCATAGTGAAGCATCAGGAGGTTTCAGCGGGAGGGTCAGCGCTGGTCACCAGCTCCATCTTCACCTGGCCTACTGAGAGAGCAGGGCTACGGACCGGCTCCCGGCCCCCACTGAGCAAAAGCAGTTTTGAATGGGGCTGGTCTGAGGGCCTTCCACTGCCTGGCTGAAAACCGCAGTAACTCTCCTTAACAGGAGAGCAAAACTCCAGGTGTCCCACTCCACACCCCCCACGCCTCACCAAGGCCAGCCTCTCCTCCTACCCACCTCTCAGATCTTTCAGCTTCTTGAGCATTCCAAATTCTTTCTTTGTTCTCTCCCCTTAAACAGTTTACAATCAAGTATTTAAGGTATTCAGCAGTGAGAAGTCCCCCCGCTGTATTCACGACTAGCTCCTTTTCTTCTTTTATCAAATACTCAAGAGCTTTTTCTGCCCCTCTGCCTAATGGGGGTCACCCTTGCTGGTATCTTGTCTGCCAGCCCCGTTGGGATTCCTGTAGGACCCCCATCCTATGAAGCATGGTGCCTGGCGTATAAAACCCGTACTGAGGAGTGCAAGGGTGTTTTCTTGGGGGGGATGCCGCCCTCACACGACAGTGGCCTGCTTTGCCTGTACCCATGTGCCCTGTGCAACTGGAGCCCCCACTCTCTCCACTTGTTAGCTGATGACCTTGGATACTTAGCCCTTCTGGGTCATCTCCCTCATCAATGCAAAGGCAGGGGTCGTCTGTCTCACAGGGATGGTGGGAGGGAAAAGGAAGAGACCTCCACCCTATCCCCAGCAGAGGACTTGGGATTCAGTGATGCGTCCCCTGACGCTCTCCTGCCCCCTTCGGGGCCCTTGCAGGAGTGGGAGCCTTGGGGAGTGGAGGGGGGAACCACTGAGTCTGGTTAGGGGGATTGATGACACAGGAGCCTCTGGGGAGGGTCCTTGTAAAACTGTTGTTGGGTTCAGATGGGCTCTTTGTTGAACATCCAGTCTCCCAGAAGGACCCAGGAGTGCCCCCCTTAGGGCCCCTGAGCTGGTCTCTGGGGCCCTTGGGCCCACCTCCTGGGATGGTCGGGTCAGTGTTGGGCACGTCTGGTCGGTTGGCTCCTGGAGAACCAGCCTTGCACCTGACGGAGACGAGTTGAGCAGTGAACGAGCAAAAGGACCCCTAGTCATTCCTCCCCAGTTCTTCACAGGTTTTCTGCCATCTCATTCTTGAGGCTCTTAAACCTCCCACCCCTCAAAAGAGCAGATTGCACGTTTAGGCAATGTGAAGAAATGTCTATTGGACTGAACAGGGGAGGAGACCTGGGAGAGGGCAGCCCCAGAGCAGAGTTCTAGTCAGGGCCAGGAGGGCCGAGGGAGCCTGGCGCTGAGTGGGGCAGAGGTCAGCCTCCTCTTTGGGCTAAGCCACCAGGGGAGGTGTGAACTCCAGGTTGGGCACAGAGGAGATGCCGAGACTTTGGCCTAGACCTGAAGGAGAAGTCAGTGCTATTTAGCCAGAAACAGAATAAAGCAAAGCAGAAAAGCAGCAGGGAACAAACAACCAAACAGCAGCCTCAGGGGTCTGGAGAGGTCTTCAGAAGGACGTCATGTCTAGATCCTGTGGGTGGTTTGTGGGCCCTCCCACAGGCAGAAGCCGTGAGCCTCGGCCCACCCTTCTCTGGGGCCCAGGCCCCCAAGGCCCTGTGCCTCCAGTGGGATTCTGGACCTTGGTTCCAGTGGGGAAGCTGCTGAGAGCACGCTACTCCCTCCTGAGCCACCTGTCGTCCGTCCACACTGGGCTGATTACTGTGTATAGCTCCCCCCCGCCTTCCCCCCACCTCGAGTGTCGGGGGCTCAGGGTCCTGTTGGTTACCGCCAAGCCGTGGTGGAGCAACTGGGAAGTGATGGGTTAGACATAGACCCTTCGCTCTACTGCCTCTGGGCCAGACGTTAACGTGACCTGAGGGGACGCGAGCCCTCAGTCATCCAGCTTTGTCCACGGCAGCTGACATGTGGGGGCGGCTGGGCTGAGCCCTCCTGCGGAAGGTGACTCAGAGCTCACCCTGCCTGTGGGTGCATTTGTTACTCCCATATGAGAGGAGGAAACAGGCCCCGCTACTGACAGTTACACTGCACGTTACAGAGCAGTCCTTGCTGACCGGAGCCCCGCCAGAGAGGCCAGCGCCTTTTAATCAGAAAGAGCCATCACACCTCTTTAGGGGAAGGGAGAAGGCAGCCGCTGGAAGTTAACCTGCGCCAAGTGCGCTGAGAGCACCAGTGGGAGGAGCCTGCTGCTATGTTAGCAACTCCTTGCAGGTCACTGGGCCCCAAAGAGTGGCTGGCCAGCTGCCAAGTCCCTGCTGATCTTTGGCCTTTGCACAGGCCCCAGATGGCCCCACCAGCATCCTTTCGTAGGTGACTCCACCCACCCACCCA